GAGATAGGCTAGTCCAGGCTAGTCCAGGCTAATCCAGGCTAATCCAGGCTAGTCTTGAACTCACAGTGATTCTTCTGCTGCAGGTGTGAAACACGATGGATGGCACCTACACAACTCTCTCTCTCTCTCTCTCTCTCTCTCTCTCTCTCTCTCTCTCTCTCTCTCTCTCTCTTCCTTCCTTCCTTTCTTTTTCACGAGATTTTCTTAGTGAAAGATATCTTGAATGCCTAGTGATGTGTGTGTGTGTGTGTGTGTGTATCTGTGTGCATGTGTACAGGTGCCTGCAGAAAACAGAGGCATTTTGAACTCAGAGCCTTGTGATATATAATATGGTGCAAAGATTGCTTTTCTAATGAATCAAGTAGTCTTAAGTGGGAGTGATGATAACAGACATATTAGCTAGGCCTGAGCAATATAATGAGATTCTGTCACAAAATATAACAGTAAAAAGTGGGTGGTGCATAACCTTGGTGTTAGAGCATTTGCCTAGCATGTTCAAGCCCCATGTTCAATACCCAGAAAGGCAAAAATTAATAGTAAACCATTTAAATATGCTAAAATTGATAGGTGCTATGAAAAACGATATTTCCAGATACAGTTATCATATGTGGACTTGCACTCATGATATACTGGCTAGCACAAAAGTGCTGTTCTTGTGGATCCTGTATTCTAAATGGGAGTGATGATAAAAATAAGCATAAGGGCTGTGCCTGGTGATGTAGGCCTGTCATCCCAGCTGCTCTGGTCTAGGATCCCAAGCAACAAATTACCTAAATCTAAAAATTTATTTAGAGGGTACTTGTCTTATGAGCAAATTCAGGCACAGGGTCCTAGGGTAGAAGTCTCTGTTGCTGAGGACCCAGTGCAGTACTAAGGGATGATATCACTGGGAGGTAACATCAGAGCATAGCTAAGGGGATCATTGCAGCTATCTAGAAAGAAGCACTTTGTGCAAAGGGGCCAGGCAGTGCACAACCTTAAAACAGGAACTTGTCTGACTGGAAGTGTATGTCTAACAGTGAAGAGGCCAGTCTGTTTGTGAGGAAGGAATACGGAGAGGAGGTGAAGTTCTGGGGCACATACTAAGCTCTGAAGGTCTTTGCAAGGATTTTTGCTTTTGTCTAAGTGAAATGAGGAACCATGTGATCTATTAGTCACTGAAAAAAATTGAAGGTATTTAGGGAACAATTAAATGTGAAAATGTGCACATTAAAATGTATATTTTAAAGTCTATTTATGTATTTTGGTTTTCCAAGACAGGCCAGGGTTTCTCTGTGTAACAGCCCTGGCTGTCCTGGAATTCACTCTGTAGACCAGGCTGGCCTCAAACTCACAGAGATCCACCTGCCTCTGCCCCCCAAGTGCTGGGATTAAAGGCGAGCCACCACCACCTGGCCACTTGAAATCTCTTAAACTAAGTGTCTTAAGCTTGCATATACTTAGCATTCTATTATCTATTCATATTTACTCATTTTTATTGTTTTGATAAAGGGTCTTCTGTACTCGGGCTGGCCTCAAACTTGTTATGTAGCCAAGGATGAACTTGAACTCCTGATCCTCTTGCTTCTACTTCCTGAGTGTTATTATTGCCTGAATATTAATATTCTAATATTATATACTGGTTTTGTTTTTACATTTAATTATATGTTTGCTTGTTTGTCATGTTTGTACATGTGTGGGTGTATATCATTTACACAAGCCATGAAACACATGTGGAAGTTGGAGACAATTTTTAGAATTTGACTTTTGCCATGTGGGTTCTAAGTAAACCAAATTCAAGCTGTCAAGGCTAGCATTGAATTTGTGAAAACTGTCCTTCCCCAATCTTTAAAACTCTAAGATTATCATATCAGTGTTTGATACTACACCTGGTTTAATTCTAAAATGTATACTGAATTAAAAATAAATACTGTAATGTCTTGTTTAAAATGCCTTATGATTTAGACATGCAATGTCGCAAATGCTATTACTTTGGACTTTTACTAGTAAATACTTTGAGGGCTAATGTATACCATTGTTATGTCATGTCTCGGATTTTCTTTTGCTTTAATGAAGTCTTGATAATTCTTCTCTTATCTTCCTTCCAAAGGAAACAATGCAGTTTGTTACTTGATGCTTTTGTGACCTTCTGTTTATTAAAAAGCTTTGCTTGTTTGCTTGTTTTTTTTTTGTGTGTGTGTGTGTTAGATTAGTGGGTGAACTTTATGTGAACAAGAGTAGATTCGGCCTTTGCTAAATATGTGACTGGTAATGCTTAACCACTCTTCCTCTTTGAGTTTAGAGACATTGCAGTGTTTCAAGTGCCTGTCACTGTGCTGGGCATAGATCATGGCATCTAGAAGATGCTATTTATATATTTGTTAAACAAGTGCCCATTTCATGGCATTTCTTTTATTTGATTTTAGAGACTTCGTGTGTTGCCCATCCCTAGAGTACTGGCATTTTTAAAAGACTACCTCCCAAAGGAAGTGGGCAACCTCTGCCTAAAGATATGAGCTGTTAATGGTTAAATACCGAGTCAGATAGAGTTATTTTAAAGAGAGGAATTTTCCCAGAGAGCCCCCTTAAGCCACATCAATGGACAACTGTTTACTCTGCTTTATCATCAGGCTACAAGGGAGTTGAGGAATTAAGAGTTGTATTTAGCAAATAGCCTCTGGATATAACATCCATAATTCTTTCTACTTTCAACTCTCATGCAAAAAGTAACTAGAGGCATTGGGTCTACAGTGATTCCTACTATTATAGGCAGATGCTGGAGTATGGAATTTATCCACTGGAATTCTTAAGAGTGTTTTGTCTTGGAGCAAGGAACTGGACCAGGGACATATAAGATAGTGGTGGAAACAAAGGGTAATTTATTAAGGAATAAAAGCTTGGGCCTGAGCTGGAGAAAGATCAAAGGCTCAAACAAAGAAGCATGAGAGCTGTGACTCTGTAGGTCATTTACACAGTTTATGCCTTTCTTTACATTTGTACATGATGGGCTTTTCTCAGACATGCCCTAACTTTTTGTTTTTCTAAGACAGAGTTTCTCTGTGTAACAGCCCTGGCTGTTCCGGACCTAGCTGGCCTTGATCTCACAGAGGTCTGCTTGCCTCTGCCTCTGGAGTGTTGGGATTAAAGGCGTTGCCACCATGTCTGGCTATGTATTTTATGTATCCTTTGGTGATGATAATGGGTGTTCCAATGTTTTTCTGTCATTAACTGTAATCGATCCACCCCACTCTTCTGCTACTTGATAAGCCTTAGACTATTTGATTAAGTGTATTATTTGTGAAGACTTAAAAACTGCCAAACGATACAAAAATATGTGTATAGTTTTCAGTCTTTCCCTATACTTCTTATATCTCAAAGACCTGCCACAGTTGTGGCTGGAAGGTGAGGAAGCGTGGCTTCTAAGCTGTCAAAATGTCAAATGTCAAAATGTCAAAACAGCAGCCTTTTGTCAGTGTTAAGGTTTAGTTGGACTGTCTGTGAGGAGGCTCAAATTTCCTTTTGTTTAGCTTGTGGTTTCCACACTCAGGAGAGACTGGTACAGTAAGGTATGTAACATTCACAGTCATCCGAGAAAACCAGAGCTGGGCACAGGTTAAAGTGGCAAAAGCAAATTTTATTCAAGACTAGTGTGAAAAAGAGACCCAGTCACACAGCCGGCCTCTGTTGTAAACATGCTACGGATAAGTGGGGGTTTATAGTCAAGGAACATAGAGCCCACAGATAATACCAACTTGGGTGAATTCTGGCTGTACTAACCTCACAAGGTTCTTGCTGAAGGTAGGCCACACGAACCGATACCAAAGGTGGGGACCGAAGGGAGGGTTTGATTGTGTATACATGAGCTCTTGCTAAACTGCCTTTAGCAATTGCTAAACCTGGAGTTTAAAAAGATGAACACACATAGGACGTAGGCCAAAGAGAAAGTTCAAAAGTCTGACTAAAGTTTGGCTTCAGCAAGGATCTTTGTCACAGGGCCCATCTATTCAAACGTGCTTGAACAGGGTTAGGTAGAGCATTACGCTTGGACCCAGAATTATCGAAAGCCTCTGTTTAGTTAGTGACCGAAGTATAAGGTCAGGCCCCAAAGCTATCTTGAGGGTAGCCCTTTCCATCTCGGTAAACCTTTCCATTTTTCTTTTTATCCTCTGAACTCCAGCAGGAGATAGGACGACAGCTCATTGCACGTATGTCCATGCAGAACATCTCTTGCTCCAATGAGACTAAAAGAGAGTTCATTCTGATGCAGATTTGAGTACACACCGTTTAGGAGTACAGTTTTAGGCTTCCCAGAATTACACGCTCAGTTGTGGAAGAGGTTTACATGAGGTCTTATAGCCATAGAATAAAAGACCATAAATCAATACATTTGCCAAATGCAGGGAAAAAGACACCAGGCACGCAGACTACAGCACAGACCGAAAATCTCTCGCGGATGATATTCTTCCTTTTAGTATTGCTGAAAACCTAGTCATTGGCTAAGCTTAACAATACATTCCAAACGTTTTACATAATAGCCACAGCGATGTTAGGTCAACTACAGAGGTTGGTAATAAGCGGTTTTTAAAGAACCTAAAAATAGTCCAAGATAATTTTGGCTACTGATCATTCATCTCTCCACAATGGCAAAGTTCTGTCATTCATTCTGAACAGTCTTCGACACAGACGTGGCTTTTCCAGGGGACATGACTTTACAGTAAGAAGGAGCTATTTATTATGCTTGCACCGCATAAGCTAATTCTCCAGTCCGACAGAGGTTTACACTGCGGGGGAGGAGGGGTGCAACTCAGATGGGTCGCACAGGCCCCGCCCCGCCGCACTTGGCCCGCCCCCACCCTCTCATTGGCTGAGATGCTCCACGCAACACGCTGGCGACCCCGGCGTGCCCTCCCGGCGGGGCGGGACTCTAGGCGCTCGAGGCGGGGCGTGTGCGCACGCGCAGAGGAGCGGGTCTGTGTCCGGGCGGGGGAGGAAGGGGTGGTGTTCCCGGTTTCCCGGGTTACCTGAGGGGGCGGGGGTGAGAGCTCGCGCCGGCGGGGCAGCTGTGGCGAGTCGGGATTCTCTTGAGCCGGCGAGAACGCGCCGCGGACCACAGAGCTGAGGTAAAGGCGGCCGCGGGCTTCTTGGAGGGTCGGGGTCTCGACCTCAGCAGGGCATGGCGGGAAGGTGGCGGGTTGCCCGGGCGGGGTCGCGCCGCGCTGAGGGAGCTGACGGAACCGCTGGCGTTCCGAGCTCTCTCTGCAGGGCTGGGGCTCGCCTGCGCTCGGAGCTCTGCACCGTTCCTGACTGAGGCACTCCCGGGCCCCGCGGACTGTGGCGGCGGCGCGGACCCCGCACTAACTTTCCTTGGCCGGCTGGCGCGGCGGGCCGGTGCCCTCAGGGGGCGCTTCACCTCAGGGAGCGCTTGCCCGGCACCGCCGCTACCCTCAGCCTGCCGGGTCCTCTTCCTCAGTGGCAGCGGGAGCTGACGGGTTCCGGGCGTCCCACCTCGGGCCGCGGGGCCCATCTGTCATTCCCACCCTTGTGCGCCCGAGTCCCTTCCCTGCCCGTGACACCTGCTGCGGGACCCCGCACTCGACCCTCCGCGGTTCGCGCTCGTCTCAGGAGTGGTGGCTGAGATGCTAATGTAAGGGGCATGACCCAGGGAGACCCCACTGCCACTGCCCAAAGGCCCAGGGTTCAGGGAGTCGAGAAAAGCGTCCTCGTCCAATCCTCAGAGGGAAAAACAAAACAGCAAAGCATTCTCGATGCTCAGCCTAGCGCACACAGCCAGTGACAGCTCTTGCTTGGTAGTTGATGGGGTGAGGAAAAAAATTTAAGGGTGTTGACTCGTGTTGAATACACATTTGCGTTGAATTGTGACCTGTGTTTCCTTAAAGAAAATTTTGCATTTTCCCTCGGGTTTAACAGATTGATATGGCACACTGAATTGAGGTTTTCTTCCTGAAGGCTGTTGGCTGGTCTGCCGTAGCATTTAACTTCCACACCTGGAAAATTTAACTAATAAAAACGTTGACTCTTAGCCTCTACTAATGTAGTTAATTAGTAGGCAAGATCTGTTTTTAAAGAGCTTTGCAAGTAACTTTTCTGCTGATTGCTCTTTGCTGTCATCCATATCATTGAATATAGATATTCAGAGAATTTAGGAGAGGGCCTAAGGGGAAAATGATTTTTCGGAATTTAGTTTACATTAAGATACTTTGCAGACTCTAAATTACATATATAACATATGTGTTTAGTAAAGATCTGTTAGGTACCTATTGTGGGCCAGGCACTTTGATAAACAGATAAACGGAAGATGCATCCTACTGGAGGAGTAAATTAAATACAGTATGCCTTGTCAGATGATGTTAAGGACTATAGAGAAAAAACAGGGAAGAGAGAAGACAGGGAGCCAGAAATGGGTTGCAATTTGATTAGCGGTAGTTAGGAAAGTCCTGCTAGAGAAGATGACATTTGATCAACCGGAAGGAAGTGAGGGGTGATCCATGTTCTTTTCTGAGGGAAGGGTGTCTAGTGAGAAGCTACTTGCATAAAGCCCTGAGGCAGTAGTGTGGAGACTGGAGTGAGAGCTGGAGTAGAGTTTGACTGTGTTGGAGCTAGCTAAGTATGAGATGTAGAGTACTGACCTATTAGAAGGTTAAGAGATCAGATTGTGAAAGGCCTTGTAAGCCTTTGTAGGGAGAGGAGTCCTGTTTTTTAATGCAAAATGATATAATCAAATTTGATTTTTCAAAGAGGCTATGTTATAGCTAGTTGGGACATATACCTCCTTTGGGGGAAAGGGTTAGCAGGAACAGAAATATCAAAACCTTGTCTAGGGATATTGGCATAGTGCTGTTCAGAAATGATATAGGAATTGGTGCCTGTGGTGAGAGGTTATCGATTTTTGAATAGCTTATATGTAGAGATGAAGAGGACAGTAACAATTTTGTCTGTATCAAGAATGACAAAATAGAGAGATACTGAGAGTTTTATGAGAATAATAGGCTTGATTGGGAGGTTAGGTTTTAGGCAATAAAATTAAATATCGAAATGAAGATTATTCATAGTAGACATTAGTGAATTTCAATTGCAGAAACTTTTAGTGTTGCCTTGACTGTTCAGGAGATTAACAATTTTGCCCATAAATTGACAGTTTTTATTGGGAATCAAACTCAGTACCTTGAGCCTGGTAGGGAAATACTCTCACTGAGCTCTTCCTCTGGCTTCATACTCATTTTCTTCTTAATTCTTTTGAACCGTTCTAGTTATTCACATTCCCAAATGTAGTTTTTGTTTTATTTGTTTGAATTCAGTCCATGAGTTTATTATTTTTACTTGTACAGAAAGCCATGTAATATGGAACTCCAGAGTATCTTTTATAGCCTGCTGCTATATTTAACTTGAACACCTTTATCTGATTTCTCTTTTTTTTTCCTGAATTATCTTCAGATGCCCCTTAAAAAGAATTTAAGTCCTAGAAATGTTATCAAATGTGGCTTTTCTTAGCCATTTGTGAAATTACAATGTAAATGACCTGAATTTTTTAATGCTTTTCTAAGTCAGTAACAAATAGATTATTATTTTTTTTAAAGATTATTTATGCTGGGCATTGGTGGCACACACACTTTAATCCCAGCACTTGGAAGGCAGAGGCAGGCAGATCTCTGTGAGTTCAAGGCCAGCCTGGGCTACAGAGCAAGTGGTAGGATAGGCTCCAAAGCTATACAGAGAAGCCCTGTCTTGAAAAACAAACAAACAAACAACAACAAAAAGACTTATTTATTTATTATGAATACAGCATCCTGCCTTCCATGTATATCTGCTTGCCAGAAGAGGGCACCAGATCTTATTATGGGTGGTTGTGAGCCACCATGTGGTTGCTGGGACTTGAACTCAGAACCTTTGGAAGATCAGCCAGTGCTTTTAACCTCTGAGCCATCTCTCCAGCCCCCAGAGATTATCTTGATTCTTTTGTTTCATTATAGATGACTTGAAATAAATGGACCATCACATTCTAAATGAAGACTTTTTTTTAACATCAGAGTATATTGTATTAGACCAATATACTTTGGTCTATAAAACTTGATGGAGCACCTCTGTAGTCCCAGCTACTTGGGAGACTGAAGCAGGAGAATCACATGTTCAAGACCAGCCTGGACATCTTAACAGCTTAGTGAGGCTGTCTCAAAAATGAGAAAATGAGGTTGAGGATGTGGCATGGTGGTAGAGTGCTTGTCTGACATGCACAGGGCCCTGGGTTTAATCTTCAGTACTGTGAAAGAGAACAACAACAAACTGATATCAGAAAATATGTGACTCTCAGTCCTGAGGTCTGTACTTCATAATGAAGAACCAGAAAATAACTAATATTTTATAATGAATTTTCAACATATCTATCCTGAAAGTATATAAAACTCTTTCAGACTAGTGAGTAATTATAAACTGATCTTGGAGTTAGGTGGCTATATTCTCATTGGTATTACTTTTGCATTGTTGTTACTCATCAGTGCCATAGTGCCTTTTATTTCCCTTGGCCTGGCTTATAGTAATTGAGAGAGTTCTGATACATTGGGAAATTTAAATACTAAGTCTAAGTGATAGAAAAAATAGAATAAGGAATAACTTTAAACAATAATGCTTAGAACCAAGTATCTTAGTCAAAAAAGAAATAAAATTACTTTCCAAAAGGCTAGTCATTGTTCCATTCAAATGTTAGTCTTTGAAACCAAAACCCACGTGGTGGATAAGAAAATGAGAGCTTCTAGCTTTTTTAAATAAATGGAAAAAGTAGATGAACAGTAGAGATCTGTACACACAGAGAGACATGTTTATAAAACTGTTTCTACCAATCTTTGAAAAGTAAAGAGCTGTTTATATATTAGATTACTACTTAGCAATTAAGATATGTGTTATAGATCACAAAACATATGCTACATGTAGAAAGCCAGACACTCACTCTCTCTCTCTCTCTCTCTCTCTCTCTCTCTCTCTCTCTCTCTCTCTCTCTCTCTCTCTCAGTACAACCAACCAAAAAGCCACCATGTACTTTGTAGTTCCATCTAGAAAATGTTCTCTTATCTGTAATGGCTGGAAGCATATCAGTGGTGGATTGGGTATAGATAAGGTAAGGGGAGGAGGCACAGAAGGGAGGGATAACAAAGATGTACTGGGAAACTGCAGGGAGTGATAGACAGGTTTCACTATCTTGATTATGACCATGGTTTCATAGGTGTACTCATATGTTGAAACTGAGCAAATTATATAATATAAAGATGTACATTGGGTTATATGTCATGCCAATTACACCTTTATAAGTGATATTTAAAAGCCCAAGCTGTAAAAGACAGAGGAATTTGAAATACATATTATCAAATGAAAGAAGCCAGTCTGAAAAAGTGTGTACTTAATTTTTCTAACTATGAGACATTCTGGAAAAAGCAAAGCAAAACTTGGAGACAGAAGATCAGAAGTTGAAGAAAGAGAAGAATAAATGGACAGAGAGCACAGAGAATTTTTAGGGCAGTATGATACTCTAATGGTGGGTATATGTTGTTATACATTTGTAAAAACCTGTTATATGTACAACTGTGGGCCTTCATGTAAACTTTGGCTTTGGGATGAGAAGGATCTGTCAATGTAAGTTTGTTGGTAACAAATGTATCTGTAATGTAGGATGTTTATAGCCAGAGAGGATATGCCTTTGTGGAGTCAGCTATGTATGATTTCTTTTTACCATTTGATTTTGAGGTAAACCTAAAATTGCTCTATAAAAGAAAGTTATGTTTAGAGAGAGTAGAAGATTTTGCTACAAACTTGAAGAATTGCCATTTTGTTTGCTTGTGTGTTTGTTTTGAGTCAAGATCTACCAGTATTGCCCAGGCTGCCTGGAATTTGTGACCCTCCTTCCTTGGGTGCTGAAATGAAAGGTGTGCACCATCATGTCTGGCAAGAATTTACATTTCAAAATTGAAGTATTAGGAGGTAAAGCTGAGAAATTGTACATTGAAACATTTGACACTGATGCTCAGAAAAAGTATAAGCCAGATTGCCAAGTACTTCATGATTCATGATCAGAAAAGAAAATACTGATTACTAAGACCTATTCAGTTTTTAAGAACAAGTCAATGATCTAATCTCATGCTCACTTTACCAAGGTTAGCATAATAACAGCATATTTTTATAGCATTTTATTATGTATAGAATACATACCCAGTACTTTATTTAAACTTCAAAAAGTGTCCCCCAGGATAAGTTTAGGATGGGAACAATGTCATCAGTACCAATCTTAGCGTAATGGGATAAAGGAAAGAGGAATAAAAGCAGGCTTTGAAGAGTATAAACTGGGTGAATGGTGATGCTGATTGCTCTTAATTTTTAAAATACAGGAAAAGGAAATGACATCCACCAGTTTTCAGTTTGGGGAATGTAGTTGTTTGGTTTCTTTCATTGAAACAAGTTGCATAGAGTTAAAAAAATTAAATCTGATCATGTAAAAACATCTTTATTCAGTAAATGTAGTCCTTCATATACTTTTGAAATATAGAGAAGACAATGTATGGAAGCTTGAACTGGGAGGTGCGATTGACAAGAGGTGTGTTTTTCTTTAAGGAGTGAGGTCAAAGATACTTCTGTGGATTGAGGGAAAGAGACATCCTATAAGAGACAGATGCTAATTGATTAAAATATAGTATGAGAGAAAGGGAAGGGATGGGCCCAAGAGTAAAGATAAAAAAGGGTTACCCAGAAGAAGAGTGGCAATGCATCTTCCTATTTGCAAAAGAAAACAAAATAAGGGAGTGGGTTGA